TAGGGAAAGGTGGTACTTTGACCAGAGAGCCTCAAGAGGCAGCAACAAAGACCCTGCTGCAGCACGCGTAGCCGTGTGACTGCCGAAAAGATAACAAAACTGGGTGCGAGCACAGGGGAGGGTGTTGCTTGCCGGTGCCGGGTGCCGCTGTCTGTTTGGAAGCTGTACGCCTGCACGGTGATGCGGCCGTAGCCCGGATGGTACCACCTGATGCCCTGGCGTAAAGGCTCCGCACGCCCTTTCAGTTGCACTCACCGGTGGGAACGAGAATCCTCTCCGTGCTCCACCCTGCCACCCACTTTCAGTTTGACCATTAAACCACAAACACAGGAGGTGTGACAAGGTTCTCCCTTGGTTGGTGGGCTCACATCTGGGGGAGACATCATTTTTGGCCATGAGGGAATGCTGCTGCGTACCCCCCAAAATAAACACTTTCACACAGGAAAGCAGCTGTTAGGGAGAGGGGACGAGTTCTCAGCTAGCCTTTTCCTTTGCGTGCTGGTTTTCTGTAGGCAGGCGCTTGTCTCTTTTTTCATGATGCGGCATTGGATCGTGGGAGCCCTCCGAGTTTGAAATGATACTGCCCCCTATGTAAATCCCATCACCTCTGTGAGAACTTAGCCAAAGCAAATACTCTCTGAAGCACTTTTTCCCCTGTCGTGGGCTGATAGCTTTAACCGTAGCTGCACAGGCTCTGTGACCAGTGTTGATATTCCAGATTGCCCCCGACTTAGGTACGGATGTGTAACCAGAGCACAGCAGTAGGAGACGGATGTACATGCTTTAGCCACACCTCTTCCAAGCCAGCATTCAGAGGTTTTTAAATTCTTGGACCTTCTTTTTAAAGCACCCCTGTTACCATGTAGCCAGCCCCCTCTTAGGGCTAATCTTTTGGAAATCTCAGGAAACATGTCTGTATGTGTGCTTGTTTTTTAAACAGAAATGACGATTGCACTTTTAAAAATGATAAATGCCTGAACTGTAAGAATCTTGGCTTGGATCCAGCAGAGTGTATATCCATGTGCAGGAGGGCGTGGCTTTCTCGCCTCCCCCCCCCCCCCCCCCCTGGCTGGGCCCACCTCACCCCGGGGGGCTGGGTTTCCCCCCCCCCCCCCCCCCCCGTCCTGCTGCAAAATGCCCTCCGAAGTGCCACTCATAGGGGACTAGGGGCCCCCAGGAGCAGTGTTTCGGAGTGCATTTTGATCTACAGTGGGAGGAGGAAGGTGGGAAAGTCAGTCTCTTCAGGTGGAAATCCTTTTGCCCGTGGAACATTCTGCTGGAATCCAAGCCCTTATTTTGAGCTGTTTTTAAACACCTGCCTCTCTACTTGATATGCCAGATCTCAAAATGAGCACAGGCAGAATTTTACATTCTAATCCATTATTTGTGCTGATGTCTGTGTCCTTTCTCTGAGAGTTTTAATATTTTGCTTTGATTAGCTTTCAAATAACAATAAACAGAACAGCTGCGATTCTGAAGAATATATTTTGAGCTTTCTCAACACTGTTCCCAGCTCACGTTGTTGCAGGCTCTGCCGGCGGCCCTTTGGATTCAGCTGGAAGAGCAGAAAGACACAGAATATTTTCTTACAAAAACTCTTGCAACCTTTAAGGGTCTGATTTTGATGGCCAGAAATCACCGTATTTCTAGCTGGCTCAGCAGTCAAGCGAATATATATATATATATATTTTAAACGATGGGTTTCAATAGATCACAAAACCGAGGAACTAACACTTATAGCAAATAATGAACTGCACTCTGATTGCTGAATGGTAGAGCTTGTCAGATCTCGGAAGCTACCAAAACAACAAAGGACAACGGAGTAAGAGAGCTGCTGTAACCCAATATGTTAATCTCCGAAAATGGGCTGCATCTCAGAGACTCCCAAATCATATAAAAGTTCCACCAGTAAGAATTAACAACTGAAACTCTATTGAAAACAATACAACACTGTAGTTAAATACAACACCAGTATCAATGAACTCACAAAAATGACAAGATTCCAGTTGCCAGCTGACCAAATAGGATGTAGTTAAACTAACCAATAGCTGAGACATCCTATACACTTGGGAACAAGAACATTCAAAATTACAATAACAATGCAGAGTAATTACATTCAGAAATAACAGTAACAATGAGGAGTAATACATTCAAAGATAACGGTAACAGCAATACAAGTTCCCTTGTTTCCATAAGAGTTCTTCTTCAGTCGCTGTTACCAGGGCTTTTTTTGTAGAAAAAGCCCAGCAGGAACTCATTAGCATAACAGGCCACACCCAATAGCAGAAACTCATTAACATATTAGGCCACACCCCTGACAACACCACTCATTAGCATATTAGGCCACACCCACATGTTACCAGAAGTGTGGTCATCCAGCCACACCCACCTTTTGCTTCTTATTCTGTTTACCTTGTTTGTTGTCAAAACCCAGGGCTTTTTTTGTAGCAGGAACTTCTTTGCATGTTAGGCCACACACCCCTAATGTAGCCAATCCTAATGAGTTTCTGCTGTTGGGTGTGGCCTATTATGCTAACGAGTTCCTGCTGGGCGTGGCCCACTCAGGAGCCAGCCGGATCTCCGTTCCTTTGTGTTCCTGCCCAAAAATAGCCCTGGCTATTACAGTGAAAATGATTCTATATTGAACAAAAGAGTGAGAAAAACTTCTCAAGCCTCCCACAGGAGTGACCTTGGTGATAATCTCCTGGTCTCCCGTCCGGGATAATAAGCTTACACATTCATCAATGAGGAACATATACTCCACAGTAAATTCGGCACAGCCTGCTAACAATTCAAAGGTGGGATGTTTAACATATTTGGTTACAGCAGATCTCGGAAGCTAAGCAGGGTCGTCCCTGGCTAGTATTTGGATGGGAGACTTCCAAGGACTATCCGGGTCATGACACAGAGACAGGCAATGGCAAAACCACCTCAACCATCTCTTGCCTTTAAATCCCCACCAGGGGTCGCCATAAGTCAGCTGTGATTTGATGGGACTTTTCCAGTCATCAAGTAGCCTTTTCAGCCACTGATTGGTATCGCTGCACTCTGCTCAGCAGCGTTTGAAACCTTTCCCCATTCTAAGGAGCGTCTTTTGATGGGAGCAGCTCTCAATGTAGAGGCTTTCCACTTGGTTTGTCTGAAGGGGAAGGTGGCACCCTGCCCAGAGAGTTGTGAGGGCCAATTCTAGACCTATGGACATTCCATGGCCTATTTGCCGAATTTCTCTGCATGCAAATATGACTCCCTCTCCACCACTCTGCATGCTGGAAAAGCAGAATGGCCAGTGATGGGGAAAGCACACATTCGGAAGCTCCATACAGATAACTAAATGAATCTGTGTAGATTTCCCTAGTATGGACACACATTCACTCACACCGGCAATCATGTCCGGTCAGGATCACTACCTCTGCACAAGCTTTCCTGTCTGTTATTTTTATTTTATCTTTCAGTGTTCCACACAGTCCCTTAAGACAAAACATAATTCTCCAGTACATTTCAAAAATGGGGGGGGGGGACAAAAAAATCAAGATGGGTAGCCATGTTAGTCCGTCCGTAGCAGCAGAAAAGGGTAAGGATCCAGCAGCGCCTTAAAGACTAACAAAACATGTAGCAGGGGAGGAACAATTGTGAGTCACGGCTCACTTCTTCAGCTATCCGAAGAAGTGAGCAGTGACTCACGAGACCTCATTCCCCTGCCACAAATTTTGTATGTCTTTAAGGTGCTGCTGGACTCTTGCTCTTTTCTAAAACCAAAAAAGGTAAGGGGGGAAAATACCAAAGCTCATTGCATTACATTATATAACCAATTAGATTGGAGTCCAGTAGCACCATAGAGACTAACAAGACTGCACTGTTGCCCAACTCTTACTGTAAAAATGTTTTCCCTAAGACCCAGCTGGTACCTTCCCACCCTTAAACCCATTGTTGTGAGTCCCATCCTCTGCTGCCCACAGGAACAACTCCCTGCCCTCCTCTAAGTGACGGCCCTTCAGATACTTCAAGAGAAGAAGAAGGAGAGAGAAGAGATTGGATTTACACCCCACCCTTCACCCGGAGTCTCAGAGTGGTTTACAATCTCCTTTCCCTTCCCCTCCCCACAACAGACCCCCTGTGAGGTAGGTGGGACTGAAAAAGCTCTGACAGAAACTGCTCTTTCAAGGACAGCTCTGACAGAACTATGGCTTGCCCAAGGTCATCCAGCAGCTGCAAGTTGAGGAGTGGGGAATCAAACCCAGTTCTCCCAGATTGGAGTCTGCGCATTTAACCACTACACCAAACTGGCTCAAGGGAGCCATTGTGTCCTCCCTCAGCCTCCCCTTCTCCAGACTGAACATTCCCAGGTCCCTCAGCCTTTCCTCACAGGGCTTCTCGGTCTCCAGGCCCCCGATCATCCTCGTCACTCTCCTCTGCACCCGCTCCATTTTAAGAGTCAAAGCTCCTTTTATCAGACGCAGTAGAGTAGAGGTGAAAGGTCTGACGAGGGGAGCTTTGACTCTCGAAAGTTCGGGCTCTTTTTGTAGCAGGAACTCCTTTGCATATTAGGCCACACACCCCTAATGTAGCCAATCCTCCAAGAGCTTACAGAGCTCTTCTTACAGGGGCTACTGTAAGCTCTTGGAGGATTGGCTACATTAGGGGTGTGTCACTTAATATGCAAATGAGTACCTGCTACAAAAAGAGCCTGTCAGTCTCTAAGGTGCTGCTGGGCTGCGTTCCGGCTGCTCCGCTGCAGACCGACATGGCTCCCCTCTGAAACTATATAGCCAGTAAACCACAGGATTCAGAAGAGTTTATTGCTTTAGTAATTTAGTAGAGCTGCGGTGGCTCAAGTGGTTAAGACGCTGAACTGCAGGCTGTGGAAGGTCGGTAGTTCAGCAGTTCGAGACCCGGGTGCCGCATGACGGAGTGAGCTCCCGTCTCTAGTTCCAGCTCCTGCCAACCTAGCAGTTTGAAAGCAAGAAATTGCAAGTAGATAAATAGGTACCACTTCGGTGGGAAGGACTAGGAGCAGGCTGGGGAGGTGGTCTGTGTGTTTGTTTTCTACACGTTCTTCGCGCCTCAAAGTGCACGTCATAGAGAAGACACAGCATTTATGTGAGTTGGTGCATATGCGGAATACATCATCCCAGAAACTGCACCAACTGTTCTCCAAATCATACCCTAATATTTACACGTGGCCTGAATCAACAAGAAGTATTGATTTCGGCTTAGTTTACCTTCTACAGTTAGGATGGGTTTTTTTGGACTGTCAAATGCCAACGTCCCTTCCTCTCCCCACAACAGACACCCTGTGAGGTAGGTGGGGCTGAGAGAGCTCTGAGAGAACTGTTCCTGAGAGGACAGCTCTGAGAGAACTGTGACTGACCCAAGGTCTCCCAGCTGGCTGCATGTGGAGAAGTGGGGAATCAAACCCGGTTCTCCCAGATTAGACTCCACCGCTCTTAACCACTACACCAAACTGGAGATTTATGTTTCCACCTCCTAGTTTGGAAAACTCCACCCCCTGCCCATTCTACATGGTCCGTAAGAAAAGGACAAATGAGAAAACTAGGGCATTTGTTTTAATCATGGCAGTCTTCTACATTTAAAAAAATTCCTGTATACTTGAACACATGAAGCTGTCTTCTACTGAAGCGGACTTGTGCTGCCCCAGCCAGCGTTTAACTGTAGCTAAGTAGAACTGCCATTCCTGTGACTGGCTGTTGATCAGCTGTGATTTGACTGTTGATCAGCCAGTCACAGGAATGCTTTTGGATGTCTAACTAAAGACTTCAATTCTCAGAGGCCACTGCTCTTAAAGATATATGGCAGTTCTACTTAGCTACAGTCAAACGCTGGCTGGGACAGCACAGGACTCTTGGTCCATCAAAGTTAGTATTGTCTACTCCAGGGGTCCCCAACATGGTGCCCAGGGGTGCCCAGGCAGCCACCAACACTTTTCTTGGCTCCCACAGAGTGTTTTTAGAAAGTGAGTGTGGCTCTTGTGATGCAGGGCTTCTGATCTGCCACTGAAGATCTGGTGGACTGTGCAGCTTAAAATAACGAAAGGGTCATTCCTGAATGTCTCCAGGGCTTTGGCTGATGTAGGCTGATGTCTCTTCCATGATCTGATAGAGGAGCTGTCATCCAAAAATAGGTGGCCTCGTGGCAGAAGGGGACACGGTCTGTTCCTCCACAGCAAGTTATTAATTAACCTTTCTGGTGGAACAGCCCTGGTCAACAGCAAAGTCCCATGTTTAGAAAATCCACATTTGCAGAAAAAGGACTCTTGCGGCCACCTCTAACTTTGCCTCTACCTCCAAGATGGATGAAGAGAAGTATCCAGATGACATTCGGACTTACACAGGTAAAGACGTTCTTCCCTCTACTGTCGCCTGGTATCGGCAAGTGGTGGATGACCTGGCCTCGGTGGAAACTTGGGGGTTTCAGAGGCCCATGGAAATATATTGACGAGGGGCTCATGGAGAAATGCAACTCCCGCTTCAAATTTAGATTTAAGTGCCACGCTAGTGTAGCGTCGTGGTGGAACTAGTGCAGTTAGGTAAGGGTTGAGAGGGTGAACTAACTTAGGACATTCCTCACTTAAAACTTTAACCTTGAACCTTTTAAGACACAGACCAGAAACATTCCCGTTCGATGCGTGGCCTGGCACACCTGAAAATAAAGCAAAAACTACATTCGTACTGACTTTAATTGCAATTGCTAGAATAAGTATCGCTCAAAAATGGAGAGACTCTTCCGGCCCTACTATAAATCTGTGGCAGAATAAGTTATGGGAACACTTTGTTCCTGGTAAAATAACACCACTGGGGAATAGCAATAACATAGGTAAATCTATAAAAAAGAATTCAAGCAGTTTGGTTTCCAGTTGTTGAATATCTTATAGAGTGGGGTGTCATTCCTAACAATAAGCATTACCAAAGTTTATTGCACTGTTAACTTACGAAATGTGGAATGTTAATAATGCAGTGTACCTGTATACATGCTTCTCAGTTTAAGGTACTGGGCTTATGTCGCACCTGACATTTCTTAGTGAGGTATCAGATTTGTTTAAAAAACAACAACAACAACAATTTTATTAGGATATAATAATAAGTAAAATTTTACGTCATATAACAAACTTTTCATATCCTTTTATCCAAATATCTCCCCCCCTTCTGACTTCCCACAGTGCTCAAACCTCTATTACATTCTTGATTTTTTCCCTCCTTTTCCAATTCTTTAACAACATAATTCTTTCAGGTAACGTATCTTTTTATCTGTCTATCTATGCATGTTTAAATTTAATCTAAATGTCTATCCAACCTTAGTAATTGTCAAAGCAAAAATAAATTGTTTTTCACATCCCAGTATTTCTCCAAGTATCAGATTTGTTGTTTGTCTTAAAATTTAATAAAATCATATTTTTAAAAAGGAGATACAGACGACCCAATATTTATATGTAGCTTCTTTTAGTTGGATCTAATTTCAGCCCACTTTTCAGACAGCACTTAAAAAATATGTCGCCTCTAGTCTGTGAAAGTCTGGTGGTGGTGAAAAGCACCATCGAGTCACAGCCGACGTATGGCAACCACGTAGGGTTTTCAAGGCAAGAGAAAAACAGGGGTGGCTTGCCGTTGCCTGCCTCTGCATAGAGACCCTGGACTTCCATGGTGGTCTCCCATTCAAGTCCTTCTCATCTGTTTTTGAACCACCCGTATTCTCCCCGGGGTGGGGAGGTGCACCGTTCCTGGAGGTACTGCAATACCAGGTCGATGCGTGGAGTGGATGGAGCAAGCCCCTATTCCATCTCCCAGTTCCAAAAATCCATTTAATATATAGTCCTCAGATAGAGGACGTATCAGATATTAAACTGATAAGAACAGATTGACTTTTATAACCAGAGCCAGCCCTGCTTCACTTCAAAGATCTGAGGAGGTCAGGCTAGCCTGGGCAATCCAGGTTAGGACAGAAATGAACAGACGTGGGGTTATCACCGGGGCCTCTGCATAGCAACCCAGGACTTCCTTGGTGGTCTCCCATCCAAGTACTAACCAGGGCTGACCCTGCTTAGCTTATGAAACCTGACAAAAGAACAGGCTAACCAGGGCATTCGAGGTCAAGACTGTGACAGTTTAGTCCCAACAGGAATGTGTTACCGCTCGAGGTGATACGGAATAAAACCAAGGCCGATGGTGCAAGTAAAGTTAAAAAAAAATGTTATTCAGTCATAAAACTTTACTTGGGAATTCCAGCCCAGTTAAGGTTGCCAGGTCTGGGTTGGAAAATACTTGGAGACTTTGGGGGTGGAGCCAGGGGAGGGCGGGGTTTGGAGAGGGGAGGGGCCTCAGCATGTCAGAGTGCCAAGGAGTCCACCCTCCAAAGCGGCCATTCTCTCCAGGGGAGCTGATCTCTGCCAGCTGGAGATCAGTTGTAAAAGCGGGAGATCTCCAGGCCCCACCTGGAGGCTGGCAACCCTAAGCTGAGTAATAAAACATATCTTTACTTGTGGCGGATTCTTCGCTGAATAATAAAACGTATCTTTTTTCCTTCACTTGCACTATCAGCCTTGGCCCCTTTTTTGCCATCGAGTCAAGCTGACTTCGGGCAAGGGACGCTCAGAGGTGGCTTGCCATCGCCTGTCTCTGTCTCCCGACCCTGGTATTCTTTGGAGGTCTCCCATCCAAATACTAGCCAGGGCCGGCCCTGCTAAGCTCCCGAAATCTGATGAGGCTGGGCTGGCCTGGGCTATCCAGGTCTGGGGGCCCTTGCCCTCCCCCTTTTTGCAATAAAATCATTGTTATACATACAGTTTGTGGTGTTATTCTTCCAATCATGACTCTTTTCAACAATACATGCACAGATTCTATGAATATAAATATCATATATTAAGTATTAAATACATACATTCAAATTACATCAATAAATACTTTAATAAATCCATATGAGATGATATTACACATTGTAAAAAATTGCTCATAAAATATCCACTTACCAATAGTGGCTAATTCTAGCTCTACTGCTCACAAAACTCCTTCCGGATAATACATCTTAGCAAGCTCTACAGAAACCTTTCTTTTAAATTGTTACAAGCATCACCTGTTTGTTACAAGTTCTTTAGAATAACACCACAAACTGTATGTATAACAATGATTTTACTGTAAAAAAACTGTAAGAAAACTGCAAAAAAAGCTGTATTGTAAATTTACTCAGGAGTTGTTACCCCCTGCTATTAAATTTGTTTCCTTGTAGGACGTTTGAGAAAGACGCAGGTCGAAACGGACTCTCAAGCCCGGGAAAGTTCGTCCTTGCTTCTGTTTTCTTGAGGACTACGGTCTCTTGATTTGTTGACTTGCCTAAGGAATTAAAAACAATTACTATTGTTAGTTCAAAACCAAATGAACTTGTGCAGCAATATGTTGTTTTTGTATGTTATCTAAATTGCTGGGTCCTGGTTAATTCTGTGCAACTCAGGAGCCAGCCGGAACTCCGTTCCTGTGCGTTCCTGCCCAAAAATATCCCTGGGAAGAACTAAGGCCATGCTCAGACCTCTCATGTACACACATGAACACATGAAAGCTGCCTTCTACCGAATCAGACCCTTAGTCCAGGTTGGAAAATACCTGGAGACTTTGGGGGTGGAGCCAGGAGAGGGCGGGGTCTGGGGAGGGGCCTCAGCATGGCCCAATGTCATAGAGTCCACCCTTCAAAACAGCCATTCTCTCCAGGGGAGCTGATCTCTGCCAGCTGGAGATCAGTTGTAAAAGCGGGAGATCCCCAGGCCCCGCCTGGAGGATGGCAACCCTATGCCCAAATGGCATATCATGATTGCCTCCTGGGACTAGTATAATCGACCCCAATGGAAAGGTAAGCCTGACTGTGTGTGACCCGCAACCTTCCCCACTCTCTTCTTTTGTTGAAAGGAAGAAACATACTTCGGAGGCCCCTATTCATAATCTACATCTTGCTGGCTGTCTCCTACTTGCTGATTGTCATCGGCTTTGCAGTGACCCTCTCCAAAGGTTAGTTTCCCCTTTTCTTCTCTAAATTACGGCATTTGTAAGAGAGAGAGTCGCCAGGGCCTCCCTGGCCACGGGCGAGGGATAGGGGGGTAGGGTTGCCCGCTCCGAGTTGGGAAACTCCTGGAGATTTGGGGATGGAGCCTGGGGAGGACAGGGACCTCAGTGGGGTACAATGCCATAGAGCCCACCCTCCCAAGCATCCATTTTCTCCAGGGGAACTGATCGCTGTAGACTGGAGATGAACTGTAATTCCGGGGGATCCCCAGGTCCCACCTGGAGGCTGGCATCCCAAGGAAAAAAGGGGGATTTCTTGAGCTGTGATGATTCACACCTCAGAAAGGATATTATAGCATTGAGGAAAGTGCAAAAAAAGGACAACTAGAATGATAAAAGGGTTGGAACACTTTCCCTATGAAGAAAGACTCTTTAGCTTGGAGAAGTGATGGGTGAGGGGTGACATGATTGAGGTTTATAAGATTATGCATGGGACAGAGCAGGTAGAGAAAGAAGTACTTTTCTCCCTTTCTCACAATACAAGAACTCGTGGGCACCCCATGAAATTGCTGAGCAGTCGGGTTAGGACAGATAAAAGGAAGTCCTTCTTCACCCAAAGAGTAATTAACGCATGGAATTCACTGCCACAGGAGGTGGTGGTGACTACAAGCACAGATGGCTTCAAGAGGGAATTAGATAAGCATATGGAGCAGAGGTCCATCAGTGGCTCTTAGCCACAAGGTATAGATAGGAACTCTCGGTCTGGGGCAAGTGATGCATTGTATTCTTGGTGCTTGGGGGGGGGGGCAACAGTGGGAGGGCTT